GAGGGTTTTCTCTTGAGTGGTCCTGTCTAACATGGGGTAATACGTCCTTTGAAAATCAGGGGTCATAGTTAGTAGGATCTTCAAGGATTGGGGGTAGTGGAAGTAGTGTACGATTGGTTCCGGGATTAAAGGCTCTCTCGCAGACTTGGTTCAAGGCTTCTTGATTAATAGAAAACTTAATCATTTTCCATAGACATTGCCAATTGTGCGGGGATAATTCCATGCAAAGGGTAACGACATCAGTGTAATGGAGAGGGTGGTGAAAAAGTGTCAGGGGACGGACAAGACATGAGAAAACCTTGGTAAACCGATGGTTAGAGACAGCCAAAAGGACTTTGATGCTTAAGTCAGATCGCAAGTCAAATAGAAAAGTATTGAGTGAAAAGGCTCGAATTGAATTCCATTACATGGTACCCGGGCCTTTATTTATTGTAGTAGGGAGGTGTATCCCAATTGAACTCAAATTCGGGGTAGAGTTAGATTAGGACTCTTGGTCCTTATCGCCATCCGCTGGTTGCTCGGAGCAACATTTCACTTGGACTCTAACTCATAGGTTCCTTATCCCCAACTCCTAAATATTCGGAGTGGTATTTGACTAAGACTTAAGGTCCTTGACTGACCCTACCCCGAGTAGGACTCATTTGAGATAGTTTCGGATCCAAGTTTGGACAACCAAGGTCTTGCTCAAGCCACGTATCAACTAGCAATGGCGAGGCTTACCCATCTGCCAACTAGCAGTTGCCAGGTGGGCTAACTGCGGAATGGCAATGGCCTAGCCAGGCAGTCTGCCAACTGCTAGTGGTGCCATCAGCTTGCCTATTGGCAATGCCTACCCAACAACTTGCCGAGTCGTCAGAGGGAGCCCATTTATGCTTTTTCCGAGTGGCATGGGCTAGGTTCTTTATTGGGATGAGGTAGACCATTCCTTACCTTTTACCAAGTGGTGGGCAATATGAAAATGCTACTTTGCCGAATGGCAAGGAGAAGCCACTTTGCCGAGTGGCAAGGAGAAGCCATTTTATGCCTCATAATATTTGTATTCACACCCAAAATTAAATCACAAACATGGAGAAAAGAATTTGAGCACTGTTTGTAGTGTAGGTAAGCGATGGTAATTGTGGTGGGTGACAGTGGTGGTGGTGGGAGATGATGACGATTACGGTGGGCAGTGACGACCGTGGTGGTGGTGGTGGCGGCAACCATGTGTGACAACGGTAATGGTGGTGATAGGTTTTGGGTGACGATAATGGTAGTGACAATCATGGGTGACGGTGGTGGTGGTGGGTAACGATGATGATGGTTGGAAGTGGTGGCAGTTGTGGGTTATGGTGGTGGGCGGTAATTATGGTGATGGTGGGTGTCAGTGGTGGTGGGCAAACGACAGGTGCATGTAGGCAACGATAGTGGTGGGTGGTGGCGAATGACAGTGGTGTGTGACAGTGGGTGGTGGAGATTATGGACGATGACGAGTGGTGGTAGGTTGTGGTTGTAGGTGGCGGTGGGTGACAGTGGTGGTGGAATGATAGTGGTAGTTGTAATAAATATAAGAATGAGATAATGATGATGGTGGGTGGTGGCGATGGGCGGCGGTGGTAGCAATAGGTAGTGGGTGATGACGGTGGTGGTGGTAGTGACGATGTTGGTGGCATGGTGGGGGTGGCAACGACAGTGGTAGTGGTAGTAAAGTATTTTGTAGAGAAATTATTTTCAAGAAGTGGAAGTTATTTATTTATTTGTTTTTTACGTACTTACTAATTTAAGGAGTAAAACTATTTTTGACTTATTTGAAAGTAATTAAAATAAGTTGTTTCAAATACTATTTTTTTTTAAAGTGCTTATAAGAGTTCATATTTAAAAAATCACTCCAATCACACTTTTTAGGGAAATGTTTTCCCTATTCAATTTGGAGAGTTAATATTAGTTGTTGGATTAATTTTAAAGTAAAATTTAAAACGATTTCAAACGCAAAAAATAATTTTTTTTTTTATGTTGTATTTTATTATATAGATTATACTCATCCGTTGGCGAGGTCCAATTTCATAGGCAACATGTTATATCTCATAGACAGCATGTCATATCTCTTCCTACTGTGCATCGAAACTAGTTCTCTTATTTTCTATTTTTTATTTTTAGTTCAATAGTTTGGGATATTTAGAGTGTCTGGGTCAGTTTGCACATACCTCTCGACTAGTATTCTTTCTTGCCCATTTAAAGACTGAGCTACGCTTTGATTCATTCCCCTCGTTAACATCCCCCACAAACCAACCCCCTCCTTTTCCACTACATATTCAATTATCTATATTCCTCCCCTTTTTTCATCCGATTTTGAGACAAATTACACTTTTAATCCCTTATGAACTTGAATTTACTTTACCCCTTAAACTATTAAATTTCTTATGTGGTCCCCTTAACTATTTAAATTATTTCAAGTTGTTCCAAATGCAAACATTCATTATCTTTTTGCCCTCAAATACAACTGCCAAATAAATAATAGCTGAGTGGACAATATAAAAAAAAGGGTTGTAATTGAGGGGTTCAAAGCATAATTTTCGTTCAATTTTATACCGTCAATTCCCTTGCACCTTGTTCTAGACTTGCGCTTAGTCATCTGAGCCCGAAACCACCTCTCAAATGAGTCATTGCTGATAATCCTCCATCCACCGGTGATGAGAACCCTAAACCCATCTTTATTTTGGTATATTCGCTTCATAAACAACCCTAAATTAAACATATTGTTCTTAAAAATACAACATTAAGGGTTGAAATGACATTGAAAGCACAAATAACCTTCCGGCTGTCAATTTTGTGTGCTCTCTTTGTCCATTAGTTTAGAATGGAATGAAATATTTTGAAAAGACCAATGAATGCAGGTTTTGTTCGCCTCATAAAGATTAACTTATTAAATCATCAAGTCATTGAGATCGTATTCACTGTCGAAATTGATATTTATGATAGTATCACGTGAAAGTAATACTTACGACAACAATTTATTTGTAATCATTGCATCATGTAATGCAAAGAGAAAATAAGTGGATCATGACATTGTCATAAATTAATTTTACGATGCCAAGTAAGAATCAATTTTTGTATTCTATGGCCTAAACTAGTTTTTGCAATTCATATCATAAAAAAGTTAATTTTATAAGTTCTATAAAATTAAAAATTTGGCATTAAAAATACTAATTTAATAATCTTATAGAATAACATTTTTAATTGTGTGGTTACTTTTTTCAGGCCCCTCTTGATAAAAATCTGGTTTTGTGTGTAACCAACTAAATTAATATATTCCTTCAAAAAAAATTAAATTAATATTAAAATCAAAATCAAAATCAAAATCAAAATCATAATCATAATCAGTCGAACAATCCCAAATCAAACACAATTCTAAACCCCCCAATCTTGGGCCCAAAAGATCTTTTTGTTCCGTGGGATCTTTTTGTTCCTTTTCCTTCAATGTTTTTGTGCTCCTGTCGTTGTGGTGGTAGTGTTGTCGTGTTGTGTGGGGGTGGTCAAAGAGTTGTTGGGTGGTGGCCGTTTGGGTTGTTACTATGGGGTCTTCGTGTCTTTTGTACGTAAGTGTGATTTTATAGATATTGGGCTTGTACAGATATTTTGTAGCGTATAATTAAGAAGGGCACATGGTGAGTCAACCATTTAAGTGTGTTTTGCTAAACTCTGCTCTCGTTTGAAAATCACAATGGCTCGTTTAGTAGACGTGTTAAATATTAGATTGTATTATTTTTTATTTAATTCGGCCTAATACTTTGTTTGATAAGTAAATTTGATATCGTATTAATTTCAAAAATATATATTAATCGTATATATATCGTATATTTTTTATACGATTGAAAACGTATATGTTTCGTATATTTTTTATACGATTGACCTGTATTATAGTGGTCTTTTAATATCATCAAGAGATGTGTTATTATAATCCAACTCAAATGTATTATTCTACACATTTACTATTATAACCTCCAAGTGATAAAATCAAATTGTCATTAATGTAACAAACATTGATGAAATATATTTTTGTTAATTCAACTTTAATATGATGAAATAATTTTCTAACCAAACAACTGATTTGATTAAATAACTACTATCAAATGCTTATATTATATATTACCAAACACTAGATAAAATTACGTATTATTCAAAGATCATATTTAATCTTGTTTTTTATCCATTTGTATTGTATTAAACTGTATTAATTTATTCAATCCATCCATTTTTAATAGCGCAACCAAACGAGCCAGCATGTACATGTATGTGTGTGGGTTGAATAGCAGGTGGTCAGGGAAGAGGGTTGTGTTTTCAATGGTGTTGTGTGGTGGCTACACAATGATGTGCTGGTGGTTGTGGTTGATGTGGGTTGTGGCTGTTAGGAAGAGGACAGAGCAGTTGTCGGAGAAGGGAATTAGGGAAGAGCATGCAGTTGCTAAAGAAGTGGGGTAGGTGTGTTTGAAAGTATAATTAATGTTAATTGGATATATAACATTAAAATTGGAATTAACGTTAAGTTTATAATTCATTTGAAAAGGGTTGTTCAGGAGAAATTAGTGCAATTCTAGAAACATAGGGCATTAGTTGATTGGTGTCCTCATTTTTTGGTAGGCTTCTTAACGCCCGTTACAGCTAGGGAGTGTTTTTTATGGAAGTTGTAAATGTCAAGGAGTCGTCATGTTATTTTTGTAATGTCGGGAGGTATTCGTGCCATTTGGTTAAATGCTAGGGGTCTGGGTGAAATTTTTCCGAACCTTTAAAATGGTTTTTGAAGATGAAAAAACTTTAAAACGTTAAAAAAGTGTAACAAAAATATTACATATTTTAAGATACTCTCTTACATGCAGTTAGATTTTTGGATCACCCATGTGCAGGGTATGAATTAGTCGAGCGATGAGATTCGAACACAAAATTTTCAACTCAAATACCATATTGAAACACCAATTGCACATGTTTGAGAAGGTTATCTAGATACTTCACCCCATTACTTCCCTGCTAACTTTTGGCCATTGAGGGCTAGTGGCATTATTATTGATTCCTTCCCATTTTTCATCAATCCATTTTTCATTCATACCAAACAAGGGCTAATAGTAATATTTTTAGTTATTACAGATTGGGCAATCATAATTTCTCTACGAGTTCTGAATTGCTACAAATTCAAGAGTTTGAGAAGCTAAAACCAAACCTTGGTAACCAAGAGTACATTAATGCATGATTCAGTACATGAGGATCTTTATTATCTAGACAAACTATGGTGCCTTTAGATTTTCACTCTAGTTCTTCGATAACTGCCAACTCTTGTTGAAGAGGTCTTCTTGCAAGTGTGTTTGCATTTACTCTTGTTGAACTTGTAGCAGCAAAAGGATTAGGAGGCATGGTCAAGTTGTCTTCTCCTCCTTCCAACATTTGAACCACAGTTTGCATTGAAGGACGATCTGTCGGATACCATTGAATACACCACAGTCCAATTATAGTAAGCTTTCTCACTATCTCAACATCTCCATCTTCCTCAATCCGAATTCGTAGCTCTTCACCTTGGTTTAAGCGATTATATATCCATTCTGGAGAGTTTTCTTGGTTAGTATTGTTTACTGCAACATCAATACTCTTCCTTCCTCCAACCATTTCAAGCAATAACATTCCGAAGCTATAAACATCCGACTTATGTGAAACTTTCCCGATATGTCTTGATAACACTTCGGGTGCTATGTAGCCCATTGTTCCCCTAGCAGCAGTTATAGAAACAGCACTTCGTTCTTTTGAACACAACTTGGCCAAACCAAAATCAGAGATCTTAGGATTGAAGTTGTGGTCTAACAAGATATTATGGGGTTTAATATCAAAATGCAGGATTCTTTGGTCGCACCCTTGGTGAAGATATTCAATCCCTTTGGCTATGCCTAAAGCAATGTCTTGAAGCTTCTTCCAACCAAGAGTTTTATTTTTAGAGCTTGTTGAAGATATGAACTTTTCCAGTGAATCATTCGAAAGGAACTCATATACAAGAGCTTTTCTAAATCCATCGGCACAAAACCCAACCAAACGAACCACATTAACATGGTGAATTCTCCCAATGGTTCCAACTTCATTGATGAAATCGTCCCCATTTCCCATTGAACTGTTGAGGACCTTCACTGCAACAAAAATGTCATCGGAAAGCCTTCCTTTGTAAACGGTTCCGTAACCTCCTTCACCCAATATCTCACTAAAATGATTCGTGATCCTTTTGATATCAGCATAAGAGTATCTTGTGGGCTTAAGAGCTCTATAATCCTCCAAAAATTTTTCAATTTTTACTTCATTCTCTTTTTTCATTTTAATTGAGCTATAGATATGATAGAGTACAGGAACTGCTACAAGAAGAAAGCAACCTAAAATTAGACCTGCACATAAAACATAATGAGTTAAGAAAGCTTGTATTTCTAATAGATTCCTAGAATTACACCTAAAGAGAAAACAAATAGGCCAATATTAACTTTTTCCCAAACTAATTTAAAATTATCACTTTATCCTTTTAAAGACTAAAAGTATCACATTGCACTTTGAATTTTTTTTTTTTTTTTAAATGGAAACAATGTGTCCCTTATCTCCCAATGTAGGGCATAATTTTGTGGAAAAAAGGGGATATAAGTATAATGCTACCAAGAAATTCAGCATGTAATATGACATTTATAATCCTTTTCAAGATAAAGGGAAAATTGTAAAATTACTTAGGAAACAAAGTGTCATTCACCCCCAAAAACAAAAGACAACATCACCTGTCTGCAATCGTTTATTAAATTCATGACCTGTAAAGAATAAAGATATTGTTAGCTTCTTATACTCATGAAAATAACAATACCCGAAAAAAACTAAAAACATTAGTTATTAGCAATCAACGCACTCAAGGATTCTTCATGCTAAGGTCCACACTGATAATTAGATTTTTCAACTCCTTCATCACTTTATAGCTCCACCCACAGCTATATTTTTTAATCTTGTTTACACGAGCCTCCTCTAAGATACTTTAAAATTTTCCATTAAAGATCACATTGATAACATATAGAGTAAATCCAGATTGGTTTAGTGGTAGAACATGTGGGTAAGATGTGAGTGTGTCCGTTCGGAGTTTAAGTCTCACTAATTAACATGGGTTTATCTGATGTGCGTGTGATTATGTGTATCCAAGTTTGTTTTGCAACTATGAGACTCAAAAACATTTGGTTGAAACGATTCCCATCGCACCAAAAAAAAAAAAAAAACCTGCAATAGTTAATAGTGCAAATGCCAAATTGCTGTTGGGTTTTTTATTTGGAATAATATTTTTAGACCTAAATATTTGACCAAATATACTAACTTCATGATGTGGTTATATTATAATTATTGTATCAACACTAAGTTCTAATGTTTGATTGGGCTACAGTCAATCCAATGATCATTGAATTAGGACAACAAATTAAGCGAATAAATTAGACCCACTAGCATTGCTCATTTAATTAAGTAGTCGATGATAACTCTTAGAATTCTGCTCCTTCTAAGTGAAGGAGTTTGATGTTTCCTATGTGAACTAAATTTAAAGCAAAACATAAAATAAATAAAATACCTTTGAGTGTTTTGGATGTGGCAACACATTCAGTTTCATGTTCTGTGGTATTATCCTTCAATCTACAAATCTTGCCTTCAGCTTCACAGAAGCTGCAATTTGGTTTCGACCAACTCAACTGAAGCTTACCTCTTTGATCAAATATATTATAGGGCACCGATTGTAAGTCATGAATCTTGATGCAAGATGTCAAAGGATAATCATCGACTGTCTCCATAGACAATATGGCATACACCTGGTAGGCGGAAGCTCGAAGGCAAGGAACCGAGAGATCAATTTGTCTGCCTGGCGCAGAACAATTGAATAACGAGTAATTACCTAAGTATATTTCATTGAACTGGAAAGGAGAGGCAGACAAGTTGAGGTTTGGAAGCTTTGCCGGAACGCAGCCATCTGGGTCATACAATCGAATAACTTGAGATTTATAGTCAATTTTCTTGACAAATAGCTTCACAGAAAAGGGAAGATCAAGGACTGTTTGTTTGTTCTTGTCACAGGACAGCTCGAACCCAGGATAGCGGTAGCGATCTGGGTGGAAAGCTTTAACCCAGAATGGAAATCTGATTGATGGCCCATTGTGACGGCACCTCTCACCTTCTTGAGCTGCTTCAAGGTTTGGAGGAAGGAACACTAAGAGCAAGAAGTGAATAAGAAAAAGCAAGCTGCTGGCCATTTCAAAGTGCCTACCTACTGTGTCCTCAATGTCTTGCTATCTCTATTGATTTAAGTAGATTCGGCAAATGGTATTCTACAATAGCTGTCAGTGTTCTTTGCGTAGTTTTTGTATCCTGCCATTTTATACCTCAATAGAATAATAACTATTTTGATATGATTTTTAAATTCCTGTCCTTTTTATATTGCATTGAATTAGCAAGTTGTGTGATTTTTAAATCCATATCAAATTTATTTTAAATTTAAAAATATTGTGTAAGTTATCTCAATGTTGTTTCGTTGAAAAGTATAACTCAATGGAATAATAACTAATTTTAGTTTGATTTTTAAATTTATGTCCTCTTATATTGCACAGTGCTAATAAATTGTGTGATTTTTGAATCCACATTGAGATTTCTCATCAACCTCCAATAGAAGGTTACAGGCCATGAAAACTGAAAACCTCACTAACTGTCCACAATATAGGCTATTCTTGAATTGCCTAAATCTTCTCCCAATACATTTAAATTCGCTTAGCAAACAGAGCATTTTTTTACAAAGTTGCAAAAACTGCCTTAAAATGTTTCAAATGTTCACTTTCATTGTTGCAATTGACAATTCAATATAAATTAGAAGGAATCCTTAGGGGTGTATGAGAATTTAGAAATTTGGCAATTAATTCAATATATAAATTAAAATTGATAATTCAAAAAAATTAAACTTACTAATTTAGATAAATATAAATTAAAATTGATAATTCAACATAAATTAAACTTACTGATTTAGATAAATCCTACTACTGAAAAATAATTAAAATATCTTTCAATTAATTATTCATCAAAGAGAAGTGAGAATCGTGTTACTTATTATAAGTTACAAGAAGTTTCGTATTTGACTAATCAGATTTCGTTGATTGACTTTGACTATTTAAGCCAGTCATATTGGTACCAAACTGAGGTTAATAAATTGATGCCCACAATCCACGTTGAGATGGTAAAGGTGGGACCTTTCTTTTTCCTCCTAGCTTGTCTCTTTTGATTTTGTCCGAATTTGTTATACATACACATATTAGTATATTATTTATACACAAATATGCATGTAAATAACTTCTGCAAAGTAATACTTATGGTTTTTTAAATAAAATTGATATTTTGCTTAAAAATTATTTCAAAAAAACAATAAAAATGTCTACTTACTTTCCAAATCAAGTTTTGTGTTGTGATTTTTTTCATTGATTGACTTTTACTATTCAAGTCACGACTGGCCCAACTCGTCGTGTTGGCACCAAATGAGGTTGATTGGTTGATTCTCACATTCCACATATATAGAAGAGATAAGGGTGGGAGACTTTTTTCCTCTTGTTTTAATTTTTTCCAAGAACCCAAACTTTGGTGCACTAGTTCAAAATTAGTTATTATCTAAAATGACTGCACTCATGGAGAAGAAACACGGACTAGGACTTTAAAGCGACCCACGGACTTTTACTTGGTGACCTTTGCACCAAAACTGGGTTGATGCCCATAATCCACGCACTAGTGATAAAGGTGGGACCTTTCTCACCCCTTATCGCTTCTCTTGTTTTGCCTCCTTAGAAGACTAATCGATGTCAATACAAGTAGTTGGTGTACCAGGTCATTAAGCAAACAAAAAAGAGTTTTCGGTCATTATCGGGTTACATGTTGTGAAATTTTTTTAATCACAATAACACCCTCCGAGACTCTCTCTCTCAACTTGGGAAAAATAAATCTCGATACCTTCAATTACACGCAAATCATATGTATCTATTTTGTTGATAAAATGCCAAGAAAGGAAATCAAAATTAAGACATTTAAGTATATGGCACAATATAAATTAATTCCACATGGTTAGCCTACCTGGTGCGTGTTTCGTGTTTCTACTTTAATACAGCTATTGTATACCTATTTCTTATCGATGGGTGAATGTGTTCCTCCTGCTAAGTTATTCGCAATACATACACCTCCTACCCCACTTTTCACTGAACTTGCATAAAATAAATGAGGCATCATTCTAAAAGTTCCATGCCTAGGAGTCGAGATGGGCTTCGACGGCCAACATAGCGTCATCCCAAAAGTAAAATCCATAAAACAATGACTTAGCCCACTCACAAAAAGACCTCTTAGAGCAAAAAAAAAAAAAAACGACCTCATAATTTATAAGTCCATAATATAATTCAAACAAAAACTTTAAACTCATAACAACATAAGCCCCACAAAAAACTCATTTAAGTTTAAACCTGACAAAGAGAGTGCTAAATTAAATGGCCTACACCCATTAAGTAGTCTGGTAAGACTCCTCTCCAATTTTAAAATAACTGGAGAATCTTTCAATTATTTTTAAATGTTCAAGACCTATCAAATTTGATGTAATTAAGTTCAAATATTAATTGGTTCCAAATCATTATTTAATCTATATAGATCATCATTAATATTTCTAGAAATTGATGATTGCATCATGATTGATAAGACAATCATAACCAAATAACAGAAAAAATTAAAATAAATTAAAATAAAGAAGAAAAAGATAAATAATATTGTCTTCCACACAGGGACGGAGCTATATAAGCCATGGCTTGGGGTGGCCATGGCTTCCCTATAATTTGTATAACTTGGGGTTCATAAGATGGTTGCCGAAGAGTTTTATATGTCAAAGAGACTTGGCCTCTCCTTTGATAACTTACCTATCGGTACAAGAGAAGATATGTGGACCAATTAACTATGAGACAATTACATACTATTTTATTTTTTTCTAATTAGATCAATAAAAATTGTTCTTTTCCTATTGACTCCATAAAAATATCTCCTTGGTAAATGGAGAAGCAACAAAAAAATAACACTTTCTAAAATTTGATAACATATACAGTAAATCCATATTGGTTTAGTGGTAGAACATGGAGTAAGATGTGAGAGTGTATTCTGAGTTTAAGTCTACTAATTAACACAAGTTTGCGTGTGATTATGTATATCCGCGTTTGTTTTGCAACTGAGGCTCAAAAACATTTGGTTGAAACGATTCCCATCACAAGAAAAAAAAACTTGCAATAGTTAATAGTGCAAATGTCAAATTGTTGTTTGGTTTTTCAGATTTTTTTTTGAGCAGTCAGTCATAACTCTTATAATTCTGCTCTTTCTTAGTGAAGGAGTTTAACATTTCCTATGCCAAGTGTCAACTGAAGTTAAAGCAAAAGATGAAATAAATAAAGGACCTTTGAATGTCTTGGATTTGGCAATACATTCAGTTTCATGTTCTGTGTTATAATTCTTCGATCTACAAATTTTGCATTCAGCTTCATAGTAGCTAAAATTTGGTTTTAACCAGCTCAACTCATTACAAGAAAAATGTTTTTTAGCGGCAAAAAAAAATTATCGCTAAAAATGAATAATTCGTTGCCACAAGTTTTTTGCGACAAAAAAACTTGGTTGTCAGTTTGTCGCGACAGGCTCGTCACTGAAATTTTTTGACGACCAACTAAAGTATCGTCGCTAAAGTAGATTATCAGTGACAAAAAAATTAGTCGCTTAAAAATTTATTTACTTGTCACAAAAAAACTTTCGTCGCTGAAAGAAATTATATTATGTTCATATTTTTTCTCTTTGGTAATGACATAATATTTGTCGCTGAAAATCAAGGTACATTTTTTGCGACTAACATATTTTCGATGCCAAATAACAAATGAACAAATTTTATGAACAGGTAACACGACACGACTCATTTAACCCGTTTAATTTTAAAAAAATTATATCAACAAATTTTAATACTCTATTTTTCTAACTCCATTTTTTTACTGTCCGTTGTACTTACCTAAAAAAAGAGGAATTTTTAGTCAAATCTCACATAAAACTCAAACTTTAAGGCTAAAAAAAGGCAAAAGGTCACTGACTTTTATAGGCAAGTTTGCCCTCCCCATCTCACCTCATTTGCTGATGTGGGACAAAAAAAAAGACATTGATTTGCCTTTGTCTTTGAACTTTTTGCGACAATTATTCTTACACATCGCAAAAAATCGTCAGAGTAAAACGTTTTTCTTGTAGTGATATTTTGAGACCAAATATACATTGTCGCCAAATAAAAAAAAAATTAACTTTTTTTTTTCTGCGACAAACATGTATTGTTGCTAAGTATTATTATTTTTGTTTTCTTATTTTCATTATTTGACAAAAATTTTATGACCGAAAAATTATTTTGGGGACAATTTTTTTGTCGCCCATAAAATTAGCATTTAGCGCCAACATTGGCGCCAATTTTTTTTTGGAGGGAACGTCTTTGCGAAGACTATTGGCGACAACTACAAAAAATAGTCCCCAAAAATATCATAAAAAAGTTTATCACGACAAACATTTGAAATTGTCGCCGAAAATCACTTTTATTATAACAAATTTTATTATTCGTCGCCAAAACTCGTCACTTAAAAACAAATTTGTTGTAGTTTCTGAAGCTTACCTCTTTGATTAAATATATTATAGGTGATGGGACGTTTTCCTGATCAAAGGGGGGGCGACATGTGTCCTCGCATCCTGTCTACTCAGTGTTCTTTGGTTTACACGTGTCATTGGCATCTTGTTCTCAGAGTGTTCTTTGGATGACACGTGCTCTTAGCATCTTGTTCGTGGATTCCTTGACATCTATCTTGTCCACAGAGTGTTCTTTGGATGACAGGTGTCCTCAGCATCTTGTTTGTGGAGTATTCTTTTGATAACACACGTCCTTGGCATCCTGCCCGTAGAGTGTTCTTTGGTTGACACGCGTCCTCGAAATTTTGTATGTGGAATGCTCTTTGGGTGACACATGTCCTCGGCATCTTATCCGCAGAGTGTTCTTTGGATGACACGCGTCCTCGACATCTTCTCCGCAGAGTGTTCTTTGGATAACACGCGTCCTCTACATCTTTTCCGCGGAATCCTTTACATCTTGTCTGCGGAGTCTTCTTCGAATGACACGCGTCCTTGGTATCTTGTCCACGGAGTGTTCTCCTGTTGGAAGCTAGTCCCCCCACCATAAGGACACAAGCTTTTGAAACATGGGAGAATGATCACCAACTCAGCCTGGACTTGGATCTAGCAGAGGAAAGAAGATAAATGGTTGTCTTGTGGTTAGCAAAATACCAAGAAGGAGTGTCCAAACTCTAC